AAATCAGTCTTGGTCAGAGTATTTACATCATGGGACTAGCAGAGGGCTTCTGTATTTAGAGCTGACTAGCATAGTTTTAGTAGTGCACCAGTGAAGCACCGGCCCATGAAAACATTTCTGTGAAGCAAAATTCTTCTTGAAAGATAGGCTGAAGAAACACAGAAATACATGTTTAAGAAATTCTCATAATAGTGTAAGAATTGAAGCTGGCCATTTTCTTTCTCAAAGCTACAATTATTCTACAAACATGATCTTCACTGCACTACAAATTTCAGCCACTAAAGTGTTTATAACATAGGACAACCTGTACATCATTACTTCTGGACAAAAACCCATGTGCTGACTAGATTGAGATTTGTTTTTGTTTTTTGAGAGGGTCTCACTACGTAGCCCTGGCTGTCCCGGAACTTACCATGTAGACCAGGTCGGTTTTGAATTCAGAGATCTTTCTGCCTCTGCCTCTTGAGTGCTAGGACTAAAGGCATGCAACACTACTCCCTGGCTTGAAATAAGTTCCTAAAAGGAGGTGGTTCACTTTCTCTCTCACTGCTAAGTTTCTGGAAAGACCTGATTCTCAGTTCTTTGATTTATTAGCCTTGGCTTCTGCCCCCACCAAGACTGAAAGTGCTCTACGGTAAGCACTGACTGCCTTATGCTTTTTTAAAATATTTTTACACTTATGCTAAGTCTAACAACAACACATCTTTCTAGCCCTCAGTTCTCTGGTCTCTCTGGTTTGTTTCTGCATCCTCCACTAGACTTAATTAGTAGCACAGAAATTCTACCCTCTACCCTCACCTAAACTTGCAAAGTCTGGGGTCTCCTAAGTGCTCCAAGGAATCTGCATAATCAGTGGCCTGAGCTTTAGTCTCTGACCACAACGAAGTCTCCTCTTTCTTGGATGTCTGTTTTCTGCCACAAAAATGAATTTTGTGACCACCTCTTTCTTCTTCAGTTTGGAAAGAGCTCACCTTTAAGAGCCTCAAGAGCTTAGACCTCTCAGCCTTTTCCTGAGTCTTGAGTGGGCAAGCCCATATCACTGCAGGGCAAACATGGATTTAGTTCTTAGGTCTAAGCCCCAAATATTCCATTGCCTGCTCTGATTTCTTGGCTGTGGGCCGAATAATGTGACCTTGAGGAAGTCCTATCACCACCTTCCAAAGTCACGTAACCGGAAGGAAAGGGAGCTACAGGAGACAAACCCGAAAGTGCTCAGGCCTGTGACATTTGTCAGCTGCACATACTGGTGCTACATTCCTGTACAAGAGTGATGTGTATTTTATCTTCATAATGTCTTTCCCCTAGAGTTGATCCCGTTCAACTCCTTAATCGTTTCTGCTGCTTGTATTGAATTCCCTCAAGTCTACAATTCTTTCTTCTCAGAGCCACAGAAATCAGCACCAAACAGTATTGCAGATGCCACTTCCTTCTCTAGCATTGCAGGATTTATAGGAGGGAGCACTCATCTTGCTAATGGCTTAGAGGCATAAAGACCCCACCAGTCAACATTCAAGTTTCTGTTCTCATCTGGAGGTCAAAGCTTCCGGCTCTCCCGGCTCATTAGCCCAAAGACCCGATCGTCCTACACCTGCTTTTTTGCTCACTGCATCCATGGTGTCCACCTATTGGGTCAAGGGGTCCACAGTGGCACAGTCACCTCTGAAATTAAAAGGGGGAAAGCACATCTACCTTGCGCAGACACGTACACAGCAGCCCAACGATACTCACCTGAATGCTAGATTAGTCAGAAAGCCATCAGAAATGAATCTAAATGATGGAGGGCAGAGTTCGGTGAAGTCATGAGACAAAGGAAACACACAGGGCCCAGGCTGATTAAAAAGATAATTAGTTGTAGAAAACAAGGTTGGGTTCCAGCCAAGAATTTGTCATTGACAAAGGTACACCAGAAGGGCCAACGCAGTCATGTTGGGGGGACTTAGCTGTTCTTTTATAGGAGTTGAAGGGCCAGAACAAAACCCCAGTCAGTTTCAAAGTGCAGCTCCACTCCCCCTTTGTTTGTTGTTCTGCTCATAAACACACAAGCTGTTTCCTTTCATCTGCACAGGCTCATCCAATATGGAGATCCCACAATAGATTGAAGCCAGATTTAAAAAGGACACTCAGAACACTGGTCCAGCCAGAGATCTTCTGGCCTAGCATAGGATCTTCATGTTCCTGCCTGGAATTGGGGGGTGGGGAGGCAGCTCTTTGAGAGCTAAAGGTCAGCAGCCTTATCAGTGAAAAGGAAAAGAGGGGCTTTTCTTTCACAAATTGTTCAAACCTATAAAGACCTCCAAGGTGCCTAATAACAACAGACAGGTTTAATCTCCATGTAGGAAATGGGATTTTTTTTTTTTTTTTTTTGGCTATGGATGGCCAGATATGAGGAGCTGACCATAGGGAGGTCGGGAGATGGAGATACTGCCAGATACTCTATTTGAACCTAAAACTGCAAGTCCAAAGGTTCTGCAGAACTAGTTGTCTGAAATATTGTTTTGATAAATAAGCCATATCCTTGTGGAATTGCAATCTCCAACTGTTCCACTGGCACGGACATCTCCGTAGTGACAGCACATGCCCCAGATTGTGGAGTTAACTTGAATTAAATTTCAGATGTGGGGGAGCTAAGGGAAGGGGTGGTGGCAGTGGGAGGTTTATGAACAGTATGCTGGGGCTCTGATGTTGTCATAACCAGATGGCTTCAACTGTATCATTTAAATAAAAACAAACATGTCCAGAAATAATGTAATGACAGAGAAACGTTGAACAGCTTCACCTAGACCTGAAATTCCAACAGCTTCCTACCCAAAGTGAAGTCTATGTTGGAAATTCTGCAAGTATGGAAAATCCCACATAAGACCCTCATCCTGCTTTTTAGAGCTAGGTGTAAAGACTGCTACCCTCCTGGGGGCACATTCTCTGAGTCCACTGTCCCCAGCACAGAGCTGTGAGTGAAGTTCAGAAAAATCCACTTCACCTCCTGGAAGCTCTGAAGAACAGGCCAGTAGAGGCACCTTTCTGGAACTTTGTTCTTGTTATTTCCAGAGGAAGCAAGCTTCACTTCCAATTTTGTACCTAAGCACTCCAGAAATGGAACTTCCTCCATTCCTTATGTAATTTTCAGGATATGACATTAGAAGATCTGGTGCTCAGTACTTGTGTGACCTTTCCTCAGCTTCAGCTTCTCCCAGCTGTCGACCAGCACTATCTATCACCTGTCCAACCAAACTCATCAACAGGATGGGCAGCTGAAAAGGGACACTGTAGATGAAGGTCTCAGGTGAACTGAGGGCTGTAGAACAAACAGTTGCCCAAAAGGTGATATGGGTATAGAGGTTTTGCATCCACCCTGATAGCTACGTTAGTGTGTAAACCTGGAGAGTGCCAAGGTGGCACAGGTCAGCAGCCAGTGCACAGAGAACTGCGCACTTCCTCACAGAGGTCACGCTCAAGAAGAAACTGGGAAGGGCAGAGTGCTTTTTATAAACAGGTCTCAACTTTGATTATACTGTCACTAGACCATTTATGATCATTCCAAAGGTGGTTACACAATGAAAACTGGAAAATTTGCCAAGAGTAATATCATCGAAAGGAAATAGAAGGTGAAACAGGCTTGGCCAAATGGATGATGCATCTTCTAGTATATCCCACTGTCTTAACATGGAATGCTATGAAACCTGGAGGCCAAGAGCATTCTTCTGAGTTTACTGGCACTTAAAACAATAGCTTTTCTGGAAACACATCAAGTCAATGACAAGACCCACCAGAGACAATAACTTCTCTTTATTTAATCTCCATATTCATGTCCCCTGAATAGTCTATTTTGTTAGGAGAAAGGAAATTGGGAATTAGGTGTTAAAACACAAAGGGTGGCTAGGTGTGGTAGAGCACACTTCTAATCATAGCACTTGGGAGGCAGAGGCAGGTAGTTCTCTGAGAGCTGGGGACCTGCAGGGCTACAAAACGGGACCTTGTCTCAAAAAAACAACCAAACTATACAGGGTGCAGAGAAGCCCACTCAATGATTTGGCAGAGTAGGATCTGTTCCTCTCCCTATCAGACGTAGATGTCAGATCCTCAAGGACAAAAGACTGGCAGATGCTGATAGCTCACAAAGGGAACTTGAGATTATGGAGAATAAATAAATCTCTACTGCTTCTTAGACATTTCAAACATAATCCCTGCATGATGAAGATCAAACTAGGGCTTCAAAATCAATAGCAAGAAACTCAGACTCAAGAGACAAGCCAGGTGAGTAAAACAAAAGACCAGAGAAACCACACAGTACAAAATAGTAATTATTTATATTTTCAAAAAGAAAAAAATTAACATTTGGAAGTTCTCCCCTGTAGGAAGAGGGGCTAATCAGAATGAACAGGACTGGCTCCCACGCAGGCGGTAAGTCAGGTATGAACAGCAGGGCAATCTGGGCTGGGATTTTTTTTCACATAGCAATAACAATAAAATTTCCTTTTCTTTTTGTTTTATGTGTTTTTGTTGTTGTTGTTGCCTTTTTTTTTTTTTTTAAGAAAAAGGGAGGGGGAAGGGAAGAGAAAATCAGAGAAAAATGCCAAAAAACATTTCCCACGATATCTAAAAACAGAACCGTATTTCTTGTCAAGACTATGAATTCTGGGGAAAATTTTTTCCAGTTTTCAACACCAATAAAGATTTCTGCAAAAGTCACTACCATCAAAACACTCATCTTCCAGATCAAATAACCTCCCTCCCCTTTTGCCTTCACTTGTCACTTTTCATAAGAGGACAAAAGGATGTATTCTACTCTTGCAAACAGTAAGTGCTAACAAGCAGAGAGCTCTTCTGATACTTGCATGGTAGTGAAGAGTTTTCGCAAGCATCCCAGGTTTAGCACAGTTGGAAGGACTAAAATTTGTTTCTCTCAACATAAAGATTACTGGACTCCACAAACTGATTTTTTGAAAAAATTCTTTCTTCTTTCCTTTTCCCTTCTCTTAAAAACTAAACGTCCTTTTTTTCCATTTTGCTCCAGGCACCTGCTGGTTTGTTCTGCTCAGTCAGATGCAGGCAAGCTTCTCCGAAGTACTGCTGCTGGGGTGTGCTTGGGGCCAACACCTAAACTGAATCCAAGTGCCAAACTTGGCCTGGCCATAGGGAACACGGTGACACAGCAACAGGGTTTATTAGGTTGAGTAGCCCCGAGTCCCGGGCCCTTCCCTCCCCCCGGTCCCCTAAGTTATTTAGTGCTGTTTTAAAAGTCTGGGGCCACGATGCAGTCTTCCCCGAAACAGAGTAAGAGCTCCACAGATTGCGCTGTCTACCTGGTGGTCAGTGGCAGCAACAGTGGCTGCTGCTTCTGGAAAATAAATGAAGTCTGACAACTGGCAGGATCTTAGGATTGCTTCAGGCGTTTACGTGGGGGCCCCAGGAACGGGCACTGTGCTGAAGCCAGAGAGCGGTATGCTTCAGCCACCAAGTGGGGATGTGACACCACCATTGACTTCCACCCAGAGGTCTCCAAGACATCCGAAGCATGACTAGGAGAAACGGGAGAGAGGTTACCAAAGGCAGTGTGCAAAAAGATGAACTGAACAGCTACCTAGATAGCCCACTTTTCCCATGTGGTGTAAAAGGTGTTAATATAACTAACACCACCAAGAAAGAACCTTGAATAATATGCATCAGAATTTGCTTGCTAGACAATGTTCAGACTGGTGATTGGACTATGGCTCTTGTAATTCTTAAAATTTGGATTCTAAGTCACATACTCTCAAAAAGTGGGATGTTTATAGACTCTTAACATTGTCAATGATCTTTATAGTCACTGATGCTAAAAAAAGAGAAAGACCAAGGCCTTCCTTCATCAGCCAGCTCTGAGCTTCTGCCTAGCTTTGCCATTTGAGTCTTATTACCGAAAGGAAGGTGGTGGCCATGGCCTATCTGACTATCAGAAAAGTAGAGATAGTAACCCTACTCTACTCAATGGTTGAGTTACCTTCTGAAAAGTTAACAGGTACACATCCAACATATAGCGAGCATCAAACAGAACCAATACTTTTCCTCTTCTGTTTCAAATGGTAACTCCTCAGAAACAACCTTATAACTAAATCTAGAGGATACTACTTCCTGTATTTGGACATTTTCTGTGTTAAAAATTGTTCATTCTCTACCTGGAACATCTTAGACTTGTTCAATCCCAAGACGCTGTTGTAAGGGCTTTTTCCTTTTTTCTCCTAAACTTTGTTCCCCATCAGGCAAGAGGGAACAAGGGGAATGTGCCCTATAGTTCTAACTTGTCTTAGCCCCTTCAAAATACTTACAAAAGTACTGTGGCTAGGTCACCTGTCACTTGGGATGAAGTAACAGATTTGGTAGAATGTTATCTGAGGATACAGGGAGACCCTGTCTCAAAAAGACAAAAAACAAAAACAGACAAACAAACAAAAAACCCAAAACTTCTAATCTCCTGGAAATCTTTGTCTTTTATGGTGTCAGTGAAAGTGAAGTTGTTATTATTTGGGGCACATGGCTTCTCCAGGCCAGCCAGCTATTACTCATCAATTCCTATCACTATTTGGAAGCAAGCTCTTCAGCCACCGCTAGGACTTGATTCATGACAGCAAAACCATTTTCATACTGTCAAGCAGAAGGAAAAGATGAAAACTCTATACTTACTACCAAAAGGTTAATGAAGCTACTTGCCCATTTTACTCACTAATTCAAAGTCTTTCTCATTTCTTTATCCCAATTATTCTGAAAGAGGAACTTTGAAGACGCCAACTCACTAGTTGATGAAATCCACTGCCTGAGTTTTCAGCTGATCTGCACTGTGGAGGTCAGCCAGGATGAGAATTTCTGCAGCGTTCTCCACAGACAGGTTACTGCAGAGGGCATCCTCGCACATGACCTTCAAACGCTCCAGGGCATACTGTAAAACATAAGCAGTGCTGTTGTCAGAGCAGCAATTGCTCTGGGCTGACCGCTACTGAACTGTTCTCTTTAGCGGTACTGCTGTATAACTGGATACCTAAACAGAATTGCAGAGTGCAGGAAAATCTATGGCAACTGTAAAACATAGCCACACTCTGAAGTTTCGTTGTTTAAGCTTGAAATGAAGACAGCTGGAATAATGTGGGTAGCTTCTATCAAATTCTAAAGTCTACCTGTTAGAAAATGGCAGTCAGAGCAGATTTATATCCTGAAGTTCACTGAGTTCCTTAAACCACCATCCCTTACCCTGACAATGAGGCAAATCAACAGAACCTTATACTTCAACTTCTACAATCCTTCTACTTAGAGCAGACTGGCTGAAGCACAGTCCTTTCTACGTAAACATTGTCACTACCCTGCCAGGATACCCCGACTGACCCATCAAGCTGTGCAAAGGAACCCTGTGGTGGTTTTCACCAGCATCTCTGCCACACACTGTTCCTGAGTGAGGGTGAACCAAGGACTTCCTATGAAATAGGAGAGGATAAATCAAGTCCTATTTTATTTGGGTTAAGATTCTCAGGGCAAAAGAACAAAGCAGCAGAAACTGTGAATCCAGTTTCATTTTAAAAACTTCTTATTTTCTAAGTAAACAGCACAAATGTTCTGAAAATGGAAGGTCTAGGTTAATGCTAGGCACACTGACCCTGCTCACTGGGTCTGATGCAACTCTTTGACTCACTCTCTCATGCAACATTATGAACTTACTAGAGAATTTCAGGACTACAAAGAGGAAGGAAATAAAAGTAGCATAAAACAAAATGTCATTAATCAGTTCACAGGAGAAAAGCTTGCTGTGAGGCTTTCCAGTCTCCTTACAGGACCCACGCCTTGAGGGCCTCAGAACTGGATGACATAACACCCCTCTGGGCTGAATCATGGCAATCAAACCAAGACAATGTCATTGTTATGAATTCTGGGTGAGGAGGCTATCTGCTGGCACTGATCTCCTGCAGCAAAGAAGAGTTTTATTGGTTTTGGTGCCGCTTTAATTTTTCACTTTGAGTAACTAGAACAGTTTCCATGGAAAAATGGGAATGACACTAGACAAGAATGAGGTTGCTGTTTTTGTTTTAAAGACTGGGACGGTTGAGTAAATGTTGAAGTTCTGTACTGGGCTACACAGACTACACCTCCTTATCCTTTCCAATACATTCTTTTAAAAGGACTTTTGCTGTGAATAGCTCTGATCCCTACTGCATAATTAGACAAAAGTAGCCATTCTCATCCCTAGGGGGACCAAGTTTTTTTTCTTAATTATGCTTCTGAAAAACCTGCCTAATGGCAGTACTTACTTGGGAGATTGAAATTGTGTCTCCTAGGCCTGGCCAACGTGTTTTGTTTTGTTTTGGGTCTAATTACACACATCCCCAAGAGACTGGAAAAGCGCAGAAGAAGCTGTTTCATCCTCTTGGGTAAGTTCTAGATGTTTAGATCCTTCCATGAAAAGATTTCTTACTAAAACTCATAGGGAGGTGTAAAGGTAAAACATACTTTCACATAGGCTTGGAGCAAAGGCTGCCTAATGGGAAATTCTGAATGGAATATGAAAATGCACCCTTCAGTTACTTCTCATTCATAAATTTAAAACACTCTTGGGACTCAACTGCTTTATCTTTTAAAATTAGAAGGCAACATACCGTATTGAAAATACTATCCCTGAGTTACAGTTCTGGCTGATCCCCGTGCCCTGTTACCAGTCAGTTCTATGGCTGAGAATGAAAACCGAGGGACACAGAAGTTTAACTTTGACTGTAAAAATGTACAACTTTGAGCATTAGTATTTCTGTCTAAAAAGTAGGCTCTGCAAAATTAATCATTCTTACAGGATTTAGAAGATGAGGGAATAAACACCTGATGTGTATAGGCATAGTGAACACTTCATTGGAAACCAGAGGCAGGTCAGGCAGAACTGTAGAAACCTTATGAAAAGTGAGCATTTGGCTAGGCTTGTGTATACATATGTATCATTTCGGCACTGGGGAGCTAAGGCAGGATGATTGTGAGTTCAAGGTCAGCATGGACTAAAGAGTGAGACCCTGTCTCAAAACAAACAAGGGGCTGGAGAGATGGCTCAGCGGTTAAAAGCACGGGCTACTCTTGTAGAGGACCAGGGGTCAGTTTCCAGCACTCACATGACAGCAACTGTCTGTAACACCATTTCTAGGGGATCCGACACCCTCTTCTGACCTCAACAAGCATTGCACGACACAGGTGCACTTACATGCATGCAGGCAATACACTAATACATGCAAAATAAAAATATTAAAAACAAACAAAATGAGCACTAGGCTGTGTATTTTATTTTATCCAGCTTGCAATAAATATTTTTCTACTGTCTCAGCTGAAACCAAGTTTTCCCTGACAGAACTGATGCTGACTGGAAGAGTGTAGTTTTCAGGCTGCTAACTGTACTAATAAAGTCTTGAAAGGTGGTAAGAAGGATATAGTTAGTATTTCAATATTCACTGAGAGCACTGATTGGGTCTACACACCTCATCTTCCACAAATACTCCAAAATGCCCATCAATAAAGATAAAACCTCTGTTTTATGTCCAGGTACTTTCCTCTGTCCTTAGGCACAAAGGGAAGCTGGACTACAGTTTTCCTGAGCAAAACCTGGGAAGGCGGCTGAGCATGGTGGCACAGTCCTTTAATCCCAGCACTCAGGAGGTAGAGGCAGGCGAATCTCTGTGAGATCCAGGGTAGCCTAGTCTATATAGGGAGTTCCAGGCTAGCTGGGGTTTCAGGGAGACTCTGCCTCAAAAACAAACAAAAACAAACACAAAAAACCCTGGGAAGACACCAGGTGTGGTGGTATACCCTTTTGGTCCAAGCACTGAAGAAGCAGAGATAGGTAGATCTCTGTGAGTTCCAGGCCAGCCAGGGCTACATAGTGAGACCCT